GTTTGTAATCAGTTTGTAATCAGTTTATAATCAGTTTATAATCAGTTTAACAGTTTATAAACAGTTTATAAACAGTTTATAATCGGTTTATAATCAGTTTAACAGTTTATAAACAGTTTAACAGTTTATAATCAGTTTATAATCAGTTTAACAGTTTATAAACAGTTTATAAACAGTTTATAATTAGTTTATAATCAGTTTAACAGTTTATAAACAGTTTACAGGACTGGCGGTCTCAGAAACTCACCTGAATAACTTGATTTTCAGACGTGATCTCTATGGCGTCTTGGCTTTGTTCCAGAGCTGTGAAAATGGCGTTACAGGCCCTGCGTGAAGAACAGAACCAGAACCACCGTTAACCCAAACAACAGAGTCCAGCTCCGGGGTTTCATGTCTAAATAAACCTGATCTGGTTTTTATCGGTTCTGACCTGAAGGAAACAAAAACAGATTCAACAGAGTCATAAWTTATTAAACCAGAACTAAACCCTGAAGCTGCAGCAGAACCCTCTCTGGTTCTGGATCAGGCTCTCACACGGTTGAAGAGTTTTCCAACCACAGGGTTTCTGTCAAGGTTCTGGACTCCGACTGGACCTCGGTTCTTGTCTTTTGACCCGGTCTGTTGTAGACCAGCTGCTGTTCTGGATCAGGGTTCTGTTGGACCCAGTTCGGTGATGGACTCACATCTAGAAGACCTCCTGGTCCACTCTTCAGACCATCATCCCTCCACCACCGTGCTGACTGCTGAGGTTTGCTGCAGTGCATTCTGGGTAAACATGTCCTCTGGTCTGGTTCTGGTCCAGAAGTCGTGCTGCCATGTTGTTTTTAAAGAGGTCGTGACCTTTAACATTTAACGTTTGGACTGAGGCCTGCAGGGTCTGAGATGGAGCTCATTGCACAGTCTGACCTTCAGGGTGAATAATCTCTCCTTGTAGAACGATAACCTTTGACCCCTCAGATTAATTCTGCTGAGGTTTTACCACCTTGGTGTTGTGTTACCATGGTAACACACACCTGTAGCTGCAGGTAGAGGAGGTCCCACTGAGGAGGATCAGTTCTTCAGCAGCTCTTGATCCTCTTACAAATGTAAGACTCTTTGTTGTCTCATGGCCCATATTTCTGCTCCAGGTTTAAATAAGTGTTAAAAGGTACACCTGTGGAACAGGTAAACACCTGAGACTGACCTCAGCTTGAAGTGGGCCCGGACCTCCCCGTGCTCCAGCTGCAGCAGCTCGTTGTAACACGCCATCACGTTGGCATTTTCCACATATCTCTAAGGGTCAGAGCAGCGCAGGTCAAACACAGGAAGTGCCAATCAAACGGACTTCCTGCGGTTCTTCAGACTCACCCTGTTGAAGCCAGCGTTGATGAGCGGCATCACGGAGGCTTCTTCCCTGTCGGGCCTTAAAAACACATCAGAACCAAAGGTTCCTGTTCAGAGAYCATCACAGTTCTGCAGACTCAGCAAATTTACATCAAACCTCCTGCTCCTGTATGGAGCTACATCAGAGCCACCAAGTTCGTTCAAAACATGTTTTGAAACTGAAAAAAAAAAAAAAAAAAAACGTTTGAAACTGAAACAGGATTTAAACAGAAAAAATAAAACAGATTTAAAACAGAAAAAAACCACATCTGAATAAGCAAAATAAATAAATAAATCAGAAGATTTGAAACAGGTACAAAAAGACTTGAAACAGGTAAAAAAAAAAGACTTGAAACAGGTAAAAAAAAGACTTGAAACAGGTAAAAAAAGACTTGAAACAGGTTAAAAAAAAGACTTGAAACAGGTAAAAAAAGACTTGAAACAGGTAAAAAAAAGACTTGAAACAGGTAAAAAAAAGACTTGAAACAGGTAAAAAAAAGACTTGAAACAGGTAAAAAAGACTTGAAACAGGTA